AAAAATTGCAGAGTGCCTTTGTAAAATATGAAAACTATACATTAAATCATATACAAATCTTCTGTCAGTTACCCTTACAAACTTCACCTTTCCTTTATTTCTGTGTCATTTGATAGCTTTCACGTTCCTTTGGTCTTCTCTTCATTTCAATCTTTTCAATCTTTTGCTTGCAGGCTTTCCACATCCAATCGGTGCTACATATTAATCACATCTAACAACTGAAGTAGCATACACCAGAGGATGATAAAGATGATTCAGTATTAACTCCTCTCATCCCTCAAAACACTTCTCTTGTCAACATGTACAAGATTTCCGGTTGCTTTTTACTCGTGAAAAGAATAACATCAACAATAGTGGACAACTATAACTTATTCCTATCACGCAAAGTTGTAAATTTTCTATAAACAATAAAAGGAAACTAAAATATAACTAATTATTCCTTACCACTTTATCAAGTCGAGAAATCAAAGGAAAGGCCCAATGATCCATTTTATCTAATCAAACGTAACGGTATAGAAGAGAGGAATACAAATATCAATAGTACAAAGTGATGCAAAGAGCACACTCAACCACAGTATAATAGTTTCATACACATTGATACATTATGACAGAATCCCACCTAAACAAGATCACCGTTTTAAGAAACTGTACATTTGAAAACCATGAATAGTGACATTGAATGTTTACAAGAAATCACAGCGTAAATACAAAAATGTAATCAGGAAGAGTGACCCATGCTCTCCTATGAGAGATAACACGGCTAAGTAAATAAAGAATTAACAAAAGGGAAATAGGAAATACTCAACCGTTGAAAGTTTCCGAAGGTACAGGGTACATACTAGTTGGCTCTAAGACTTTTTTTTTTAACACACGTACCATAACATTGCAGCTGTACAGTGTTTGCTCATTTCGTGTGATTATCTAGCCGAAGTCGATCTGTGATGGAATCTAAAATCAAAGGTCATTTGTCCATATTTATCTGAAAGTGTAAGATAATTTTTTGATCTCCTTCTGATGAATACAGGTTCATTGATGATGTAACTTTCTATTGTGTAAAGCTCATAATAATAACAGAAATATAATAAGGGGAATGAATATCTCGTTATCAACATAACGTACTGATTATTAAGGCATTAAATCAATTAGAAAAATGTTAGTGGTAAGCTGTACAAAATACGTAACTGTATTTTTCTCTGTTCACGAATCGAGAACGAATTTGAAGATTCCTGAAAACTATCTCTCCTTGGATTAAATTGGTACCGTTTTACTTGAATAAATTAACTACATGGCAAGCACTTGTGAATTGTGTACGTCAAAAGTAGTCACAAATAGTAATGTTGAGTTCTTTGTAGAATAGTGAAGTCAAGAGTTTACGTTTATCAAACTAAGACGACTAATGTGAAGTGAGAACAACATAAATGGTACAATGATGTAAAATTGTAGTATGATGGTCTACTGCGTTATTAGTGCTGCTCTTATTATAGACCCAATGACGAAATTGTAGATTTGTCATGATGTAACTGCTTAATCTATGAGATCTTACGTGGACGTCACGTCATTATCTATAGTGACTCATTTATAGTAACAATAACTAATATATGATGGAGAACACATTTGAGGGAGGATCGACCACACATGCCGGGCTGAGCTATGCCATCTGTTGAATTGAAATAATGTTCCCGCGTTCTCCACTGTTAACCTGCGCTTTATGTCGATTAATTAATATAAGCCGTTTCAGGAATTGTATTCTCGGCTTCAAAAGTCGTGTGATTTGGATCCAATGCTACTACAAATTCATTCAGTTTTTTTTGTATCTCAGTCTTCCATAAACACACAACTTCATGAATGTATAAAATATTCTGCATATGTGAATCTATGAATTTATTTTATTTGAGCGCATAAATATCGATGCATATAGGCACCGAATGTATGTGCGCCACACATTCACTTATTTTCTGTGTGGGCTTTGGTACCGTCTTGTTGTCCTGTCCGAATCAAATAGTCTTCTGAAGGGGTCACATCCAGAGCCGTCAACCTTAATTTGTGATCAACAAGGCAGTAGAGAATCTTCAGTTAATGCAGTCCCATGGTAGCCGGTGACCAACGGTAGGTTGATACGACCGTAGGTTTAGAATCTGGGCTTTTCAACCCCCATAGATTGATCCTTTGTACCTACAAACCTGGTTGAAGCTCCGGAAATCCGCTTTTCATCCTTTGAAGTTCGCAAACAATATCCCTACCATGAGAATGCACTCATTAGGACTTCCCTGGCAGTGGATTTATATGCGTGGTTGTGTAAGAGGATTTTGAGATAGAGGGCAGATTCTCCCCACAATAAGCCGTATTAAGGCATTTGGAGGCGTTTGCGCATGACACGAACCCAACAGTTTGGTTGGCTATCATGAAGATTTAACAACCTGAAGGATTGCTTAAAAACTAACTAATGTTGTAACTGATGTAACCTGAGTATCCATGACATTCCAAATGATGATTTGCGAATACTATTGCAGTTTACGTAGATCGTTTTAACCCGAATCCACAATGCATCTTGCTAAATATAATTCATCAGTTATCTTACGGTTCTCGTAATGCCTAATTTATAAATAAGATTAAAATAAAATTTGTACATTGATCTTATATCATATTGAGAGCGATGAATGCTGGACTTAAGTATAAGACGTTGCAAAATGAAATATTGTTTACTGATCCACTTGACCTGACTGATTTTCATTTGATGACACTAAGATAGGGGCAGTAATTGACCCGAAAATCAGTAACTCTTACAGGTACATAATATATTGAGATTTGAATTGTCCATGTTGAAGTGGAGTCACAAAAGAAATAATTTCAACAAAATCATGAAAAACACTTGTAAATATATTGATTAAACAGAAGTGTTCGTGAGATCTTGACTGTAAACGGTTACTATAAAACAACAGTCAGAAGTTACGTTTTGGAGTTACATGATGAAAATCAGCGTTGTTGTTCCTATTCTCCTTGTGTTGTTGAGTTCAGTTGAATCTGCTCGTCGTTGTAAAGTTGCTGAATCGAGAAAACCGGTAAGTTAAATGACTATTCAGTTATAGAGTACTTTAGAGAGACGGCGTTTACTCACAGAATACGGAAAAAAGATTGTTGAAAAGCAGAAATCTGAAAATTATACCAATATATGATGTTGAACTTCAGAGGAGTAAAGCATTCCCAAAAATAAAGGTTTGTTTCAGTATATTTGTTTATATAAGAAATCATCTTTGAAAAATCGATGTTTAAGAATATGACAAACTGGAAAACGGCCTATTTTTAGACGAAATCGGAATGAATAGTTCATTTTCCGAATGTCGGCATTATTAATATGTTCATAACTAAAATGACGAACAATTTTGTGGATATACGAAATGGTTGATATTGATTAATTCCATTGAGATTAAAGATAGATTTAGTTTAGAGAACTACTGAAAAAATGGAACGACTGTTCAGTTTTCCCATTTTTTTCTGTGGTTGTTTATCTTCTCCACCGTCAAGTTGAATCACCTCGTTTCCGTTGACTGGTACTCCTGGTTTCTCAAGTTGTCTGGACATTATATGAACCTGTAGAAATTGTTGTTAGAGATGGCATCAGCCACCTGACTTAAGAAGATTATTGGCTTTTATCATAAGGCGTCGCGATTCATTTGAATGAATACCATTCAACTCTCAGAACAGATTTTGAATGGTTTATTCTGGTTAGCATCTTTTTAGCAAGATTTGATTCTACGTGATGAGGTTACCGACCCCATACCCAAACCTCGTTTTTGTGAACTTTGGACCGTCAGTAACTTTACAAGAGCAACAGCGACAGTTTCTCAGTTTCTGCATTCATTTATATTACGTAAAGTCTTTTGCAATCACTGTCACTTTTCATTTATTTATTTTTACAAAAATTTCTGTTATCATTCGTTTTCTGTCAAGAATTCTATGCTTGTTTTTATTCCCACCGACAGAACGCAATTGAGAGTGCTTCCAGTTATTGGGAGAGAGCACTGGTTGTCAATGTAGATAAACAAGAATCGTTACTCGTTCGTAGGTAAATTATGAATTATAATGTTTTATTAAATGATGTCTATATCAGTTTTTGGCCACAATTTACATATGAACATAATACTAGTGTTTTTACAGTAAAGCTAGTCATACTATTGATTCTGATTTGCATAAACATTGTTTTAATGTCAAGTTTTGCATAAACTATTCCGAAACTGGCGATCACTATGTCGACCCCTTGACATTATCTACGAATATAATGTTCAAAGTGTGCTCAATCCTGTTCTCAATGTAGTAGTCTTTTATCTAGGATATACAATGAGTATTCACTCTGCATCTTTCGACAGAATCAAATCAATGCTCAGCTCAAAGCTTCTTTAGACTCACTTCGATCCCAGCTTGAGAACTGTTGTTGCATCTAATGTCTCTAGTCATGGAGTTGGAGCAGTGATAACTCACGTGTTTCCGGACAAATCAGAGAAGACAATTGCTCATGCTGCTAGATTACCCGCCCTAGCCGAGCGAAACTACAGCCAAATTGAAAAAGAAGCTCTTGCAATCATTTTTGCTGTCAAAATACTTCATAAAATGCTCCATAGTCTTACCTTTACTCTACTGAGAGATCATAAAACTTTAATCGCAACTTTTGGAATTCCTGTCTATACGACTAATAGATTACAGCGCTGAGCAACAATGCTCCTGAGCTATGAGTTCAATATCAAGTATCAGTTGATAAATACTATCAATCAAGCCGACGCTCTTACTCGATTATTTGGAGTTCAAAATCCTGGACCAGAGAACATAATCATTGCCTCCAAAGCAATGGATCTAGAAATACGCGGTGTAATAGCAGATACCACTCAAAACTTCAACTCCTCCCTTCTAATATCCACTAATGGTAATCAATACACAATATAATCTAATATTGTATTGACTTGTATTTGATATTAAACAACCATGTATGTGTTAACAATTGCAAAATTATGATTAACCCGATGATTTTATTATTCAGAGAATGTGTAAAAAATAGATTGATAATTCCTGGAAAAGAGAAACAAACATACTGTGATGTGGGTGGATGTGAACAAAGTCAAGAATGTTATGAATTTAAAATTCCTAATGATTATCTATCTGTAAGTGTTTCTATAATTTGACTTGTGCTATGTAGAAAAATTGTTTGTATTCACATTGGTGTTGTGTAACTTAAGCGACGTTTTTGTTGTTGTTGAAGTCATCTGATGATGAAATAAGCATTTAGAGTAATTCTTAGAACTGGTCTGTAGTTTACATCATTGTTTGTCAGTTTTAACAGATTTTATTTAAACAGTATTCTTTAAGATTTCTGATGGAGTACAGTGTTCAGACAAAAGTTGAATGTAGTATAGGGGTAGTGGAGATTATTACGTTTTTGATTAAAATCATGGATTGATTGATGTTAGACCACCGTTGGAAACCTAGAAGCACTGGACTACCGTTTCGTTCAATGGAAAATGGTAACATAATTTCGTTTGACACTATCACCATTGGATGCCGGCTCAGTGCTCCAGTAGGTTAATCGTTCGCTCGCGAGACTGAAGGCCCTGAGTTGGAATCCCGCGAGCGAAATCGTGGATGCGCACTGCTGAGGAGTACCGCAATAGGATGTAACGGCCGTCCAGTGCTTCAAGGTTTCCAAAGGTGGTCTAACATCAACCGGTTCATGATCTCAATCAAAGAGTTGAATCTGTCAAAATCACAAATAACTCACAAACAAATGACTAACATGATAAAATCTTCAATGGCCAATATTTATACTGACAACATGTCAAATTAAGTTAACAAGATATTATATAAGTAAAGATGGGTAGTGGTTAGCAAAGGAATGCCGAACTCGCGTTTCGTACAATCTGGGACTTATTAGTTAGATGTTCTTGTATCGCAGAGTTGATGTTCACTCAAATATAAGCATGAGCTTATTTGAATAACTATCTTTATTTTACGAAATACTATCAATTTTATATCTTATTCATCCATTCATCTAGTTCTGGATTTTACTAGGAAGTATGGGTCAGATTTAGTTGGCACAGATGGAATATTCAAGGTTAATAAGGAGTTGAATGAGTTATTCAATAAATAGAAAAATTTGACTGCTGCCATATTATATGTTACGTCGATTGAGATAGGAAAATACGAAGGACTTAATTTAAACTGTTCTCTTCGTGAAATTAAACCATACTAGAATTTGATTGTGATCGTAAGCACGAAATTGAGAAGAGTTTTAAGTTTGGAAAAAACCAACTATCCCAGTTTTAAGTCAGTGATGAAAGCTAACTTCTCACTGGATTCATCTTTCCAAATAGTTTGCTTAAATAGATAGCTCCGTTTTAATGTTATCGATATAAACAGAACATGAATGAATGAATGAATGAATAAATGAATTATTGCACAAATATTAACTGTATATGAAATGCTTGAATATGTCCATATAACTTTACACAACATGTGGACTTATTTTTAGGCATGCTATCAACAAAAATCTAATAAAAATGTTCTGGCTTTTCCTGAAGGGAAAGGAATAGCTCCAAATGAATTAGTACTATTTGTGAAAAATGTATATTTTGGTGTCTGTGATGAATATGTAGTTGCATGGGCTTCATTTTGTGACAGAGATCCAACCAATGGAAGGTAAGTTATTCTCATTGACCACTTGTTATTTTAATGTGTAGTTGTTTTAATGTACTATCTCCATATGAAACTTGTACAATCACAGAATGGCGAAAATTGGCCACGTCGTCATAATCAGTTAATCCATTTCATTTCATATTATTGATATGTGGTCGAAACAATTGAGATTCTAAGATGAGATCGTGATGTGAAACATTAAAATAAGTGATCCTGTTTATCAAACTCTTGCGTTGGCTGGTTGATAGTTTTACCTCTTTATATAAGATAAATTTCCATATTTTATTGTTGACGATCTTCACATACCTCTCTAATCCGGTGTTTATTGTATATGGTTTCTTTGCTGTAAATCATTGACTCTAGAAAACATGTGTTGTACGTTAATGTTGTCTGTTATTACAATCAAATTCCATACGTGTTATTTCCATTTCGACTTAGCGAGATTGAATCTGTAAGACATTATTCAAATGTCTTCATTCATGAGTTCTGGCTGATAATTCTAATGGCTTACACATTAAGTTTCCTCAAATTATTTGTGCAAAATGGTATGTTGTATGCAATCCTCTATCCAACTTAACTGTTAATTTTATCAAATGATGTCTTGAACAAAGTTTATTCAGTAGAAGACTACTGTAACATTTGTCGATAGTGTCCGAAAATGAGCTTTTGTTGTAGGTATAACAAAAAAACATCATGTTTGTGTATAAATACCTCGAAAGATAATTCCACTCTTGTTTGCATTGTGTGTAATGATGAATCTCTATGAATACAGTTAGTAGATAAAGTACACATAATTAAAGTTTGATCATTGACTAGCTTTGGGATGAATTTCTGTAGTCTTTGTCAGAAGTCTTGACTGCTGATTACAGTCACATGAGTGACGAAATTTATCACCGATCGAATTAAATGATATTATGGTCTATTGTAAGTAAACTAGAGACTTGGAACACGATTCAGTGGATATAAACCCAATGATGTGAGCAATGAGCATTAATCGCAGTGTTGAGTGCTTAGATCTGAAAGGATTGCCAGACGGGTTGGATGAGAATGCTGGTGAGCGGCCCATGCTCCTTCACGAGGAGTAACAGGCGTAAGTAAGTAAGTAAGTGAGTGCTTAGATAAATATTCCTCTGCTAATTTGAAGTAGCTTTTGAATGTTTCTTTAATTTTAATGATTTTGAAGTTTGGGTAAGTCAAAGAGCTTCAAAAATGAGCATTAAGTACAAATCTATCAAGCATCTTCCGAAGAAAAAAGATTTTTAAAGTTATTATGAAGAATATTCTAGCTTGAAATTTGTTTGTGAATCATTTGCTACGTAAATGGAAAATAAGTAGTTTGTTTTGATATATACACATATAGGCCATTTGTGGGTATTGTGAACTTTTGCCCATCAGTGGACGATATTCTCAAAACGGAAGATTATGATCTAATTTTAACAGCCAAACATGAATTAGGTCATGTGTTGGTAAGTCTCTAAATAATACTTGTCCGATGAAACGCATGAATACTTACACTAGGTGATAACGTTTTACTCAGTGTGTTGTTAATGCAAAAATAGACTAAATTATTTAGTTAGTATTATCTACATTTTAGGAGTCGTATGAAAATATAGAACATCCCTTATCTTATCAATTTAGCTACTGAATATCTTATACCTTCATGGTGCCAAACACTTCCAGGGATTCGTTGTGACGATTTTGTTTAAATGAACTGAGAAGTTCAAAGCATTCCAAAATATGCTACGAAATTAAAATACCAAAATACGTTACTTACAGAAATGATTAAGTATCCATGTCTTATAGATGATGTTTATATTGCCATATAACAATTGCTATGACAAAAGATCCTCTAATATATAACTGTAGTGGCATCGGACCATAACCACACAATCCTCAAAGGTGAACACGAGACAACTCGGAAAATAGATATTCAATATTTAACGCGGAGAAATACCTAACGATGGAGAAGGCGTGAACAAGGAATTGAATGAATGGGGAGTTAATCGAATGGCATGTCTCGGCCATGCAGGCGTGGTCCCTGATGAATATTACCTTATATCTTTTATCCATATTAAATATATTGTTCTTTCTCTAGCCTAAGCTTGTTCTTTATCATCTATTGGTAATTGATACGATACAGTGAGTTGGTGTAGTCGATGATATGACTTCCAGGTAAGATCCTATAGATTAGGCAGTTATATCATGACAAATCTACAATTTTAAGATTAGGTCTATTATTAGACCAGTTCTAATATCATAATAGACCATAACTCTACATATCCATGTTGTTTTGCAAAGAGATAAGCATTTGTTTCAGGTATTGTCATATCATATTCAATATCAAGATGAAATACAAGTTGGATTAAAATTTGTTTACATAATGGAATTTATTTCTGTTTGTTTTTAAGGGATTCCATGGTGATATCTTTTCTTCCTTACCGCGTTTAAAACCTGAATTTCGATTATCCAATAATGAGTAAGCATTTACGTAATGTAATTACTAAGAGTTGTTTTTATCTCCGACAGTTTTCTATTTTCATTGTTATTATAATATCCTCATGTAATAATGAGTATGCATTTAGTACAACATTTTTCTCAGATCAATAATGGTGTAGTTTAGAACACGTACATAATGAACAATATAACATCATCGAATGAAAAACTGATAGTAAACAAGTTTCAAGAGTTTTGTATGAAGACAAATTCAGTTGAATCTCACGTGAAAACATCTCTATATCATACATTTGAAGAGGTATTTATTGTGATGATTAAAGTTTGTGAGATGAAGACTGATGCCTAGGATTTACCAGACATTTATAAAAGAACTACAAAACTACACATATTATAACACCTGACAACACTAATGATTTCTACATACGTAATATAAAGAATAATATTTGTAATAGTGGAAAACTTAAATAAACTAATGACTTATTATTTATTTATTTATGTTGACACATAGATATTAGTACAAGGAGGCATCAAAGACACATGCACCACACAGATGTCATTTGATATGTGTGAAGGCTATGATACTGCCCGGATGCCCAAACCGAAACAGGTGGTTTTGTTTGGGGACGACACTCGAAGCCTTCGGCCTGAAAGTCTGATCTACAAGTTAGTATCATGGTAGCTAGTGATCAACAATTGGTTCATACGCCATTTGTTCCTTCAGGATACTGGAGCCCATGTGCACCATTGGTTTGGAATCAGGGTTTTCCAACTCCCTCAGGTGGACTCTCCATGTCCACCAACCCGGTTAAAGCGACGGAAATTCGCTTTTCGTCCTCTCAATTTCGTAAACAACTCCTCCGCCACAAGAAGGCAGTGAGTAGGAATTTCCTGGCAGAGGCTAAATATGCGTGGCCATGTGAGAGCATTTTGAGAGAGAGAGAGAGAGAGCGGACTCTCCGCACTCTTGGCCGTATCAGGACATTGAACATGTGCCTAGATGACTTCAAAACTAATTAGTACAAGCAGTCTAGAGTCTTTATCTTTCCTGTTAAGTTCAGAAAACCAATCTCAGCCTCTGTAATAGGAAACATGTATTTCAGATATATTGGGTTTATATACAGACCTAACAGACCACATTCTACTATAAAATGGATAATAACAGTTGTACAATATTTAGGTGTAAATGTGGGAGATAGTAATTGATAGACTGGGTGTAACTCAAGAATAATAAATGATATAACAATATTTCATAGATCAAAACAAATCTTATGATAAGAGGAACAGTTTAGTTACTTAACAATTATACAATAAATGTATACATATCGTCGTAGTCTACAAATAGGTTCCAACAGTTACAATTCATCATTCTCATCGGGATATACCAGGTGGTAAGGTAGAATTAATTCACTATTCATCAACTAATCGGACTGGATAATTCACTGTCAATATTATTCAATGTTCTGGCAGATACAGAGTGTATTACAGATGTATTAAGAGAATCCAAAAGTCTAAAGCCAAATCATCCTTCTTTTTCCATTTGTCACTAAGTATCTAATCTCTTATGTCGGATAACATAAAACTAACTTTTGTGAAATAAATCATGAATCATATTTACATTTAAAAAGCATGTGATCATATTCTTAAAGTGATATCCTTTAACTGATTTCAATGGAACAATTATTCCCATTATCCATTAAGTGTCTTTGGATAAGTGTTACTGTGATATAGTAAGGTGGAGCTGTATTTCATACTTTACTTACGAACATAAATTAACATTTCTGTTCATTCTTTTGTTTTAAGTCCAAGTCCTATTCAAAATATTACCATAAAATGGAAATCAGCTAGAGGGGTCTTCAATATACAAAAAACGATAATGAGATTACCAAATATGATTGTAAGTTTCATAATTAGTTCACTTTTGATAAATGTATAGTGCATTAATCATAATGCCATCACATCACTTAATAATCACTACTTGGATCTGTATATTGCGTTAAATGTCAGTACAATATATGCATACGTTATGGTTAAGCCCTTCAATTAACATGTTTAACAGAGTGTCATCTAGACAATAGCAAATCGTCACTCTATTGTTATTATTATCGTGTCTTCATGATTGATATCCAGCTAAAATATTGTTTGCCTAATTCTCTCGATGTATCATTTACTTTCATGTATGTATGTGTTTTAATCTTATCAATTTACTTGACTAATGCACCACCTCTGTATTTGCTCGTTTGGTGGCTTGTGCCTTAGTGATTTATACTATGTTATTCGATAATGAACTGTAGTTAATGCTTTATATTGTGATCTGAAGTCTATACATCGTTTGGATTAAGTTCGTAAGTGTTATCAGGATGACTGATATGCGAAGTAAAGCCTTAGAAATTATCTCGAACATAATCCACCACAAATATGTCACTTTCAGTTAGAGGTTCACTCCACCAACATGAGTGCACTAACTAGTTAAAATGCGATGGATCATACTTCTGAAACTTGATTACTGAATAAATCCCCCAGCTGTTTATAATAACTCAGATTATTCTAACTAATTTATTTCAACTTAGTCATAATTGTCGTCTAACAGTGGACATCAATGAAATTATTTAATATTATTTTATTTTTGTTTTCCATTGAAAGTCTGAAGCACAAAAGCATTTTGGTTGCAACGAAATTCCAGGAATCCAGTTAGATTCTAACCACTTAAGTCACAGAGTTATGGGTGTAAGTTTTTCATTTATATCACAAAATGACTCCATTATTCCACTAATAGTTGCACAAAGAAATCAGTAAAACACTTAAGAAGTGAAACTTTGTAATTTGTGAATTCATTTGAGATATCCCAAAGTTATTTCATTTCAGTCATTCAGTCCTCGAGAACAATAGAGTACTTCGAAAATGGATAACAGTTCATGGACAGAAATAAGAACAACTGGTTATTAGTTTAATTGGATGCATTGTAACATTGACGATTGATATATTCCTCTCAAGACATGATCATAAGGTTAATCGATACGACAATATGATTGACAGTTTATCAGAAAATCTTTATTGTCTGTTATATCTGTTAAGTTCGAATCGATGAGATTCATCTGGAGGCTAACTTTGACCAAGTATACTACTGGAATGGAAACGTATAAAGTCGAATGACCAACAGAAGTAAAGCCTTATGAGTTTTATCGCTTATTTTTATGCGTCTAACACTCACTCTATTTGACTCAGATTTCATAGACATTTTAGATAATGTGATATGTCATCGATTACTTTTCGTTTATCCCTGAATTCCATTGACTATTACTACCAAATAAACTTCGGTTTCAGTACAGACACAGTAAAAAAACATAGCAAACTTCTCATATAAAATGAAGTGTCAACTATATCAGTTATAGAATATGTGGCTATTTAATGATGAACACAATAAGCGTTGGATCTGTGGGATTAGTTTGGGAATTCACATTCAGAACATCCATACATAAAATAATGTTATCATAAAATGACATTGTGACAAACATCTCAATTGTAAATCTTCGGTTGAATGAAGCGACTTCACGATTATACCTCTTGAATAAAACAGATGAACATAAACACACATTTTTCGTTTGATGAGTTTGATCTTCAGTGTTTACATTTATGTTTCTTTTTATATTCAGAATGATATCTTGACGCCTAATAGACTAGAGTCAAACCTGGTTTCCAGAATACTTCTGGCTTACTTTAAGGATACAAAGTAAGTTGTACATACTGAAATAATAGACAAGTGTGATTATGTAATATCTATTAATTCATTGGTTTCACATAAAATATGTTAAATCCTTACTCTTTCAAAACTCATCAGACGAATTTATTATGTTGAGTAGTAAATGTAGTAGTCTGGTGAGTAGTAAACAACTCGAGTAGTGAACATACAGTATGATTGTAATTACTTCCGTATTTCCAAATTTCTAATGAAATAATGTCCATCAGACCTATAATTTAGACGTTTCATGGATATGGAAAGTCACAGTACGTTAAATCATTCTCGTTGGAAACATTCAACCATGGTAAGTTAATCCATGACAATAGTAGTCCAAGTCGTTTTCAACAACAATAACCATGGTCCCTTGTTGAAATATATTTCAGTGATAAAAAGAATTGCAAGATGAATTACTATAAAAATGAGATAGTGGAGAGGATTTGTAGCTTGAGTGGATGATTTCGATGGAGTTTTGTTCTCTGAGCTTGATGGTTCGGTCGTGAAGCTTTCATTAGTTCATCACTTCATCAATTCAGAAGAACGATCAAAGCTCCACAACCAAACCATCCAGCTCAGAGAACAAAAATCCATCAAAACGATTATAAAATAAAATATAAAAATTAAAATTGAATCACATTGTATTTTTGTAAGACTAATTCTTTATACGTAAACTGTCATACAATCAGCTCTGATGATTTGCATGAAGGAGCTCCAACCAGGTTGCAAGGTGACGAGACGACTGTTCCGTAATTGAAATGTCTGATATTATTTCGAAAATAATTTATATCAGCTCACGAGCAATTGAGTTTGTTCACATTTAATGTGGTTAAGTTGTGGTATGTGCTACTTATATTGACATAAGTAGTATATGATGTTAGTCGTGAACAGAAGGTCTGGCAGCAGAGAGACAAGAGGATAGAACAGTAAAGAATGGAAACAGGATGCAACTTGTATGAAAGTGCAAGAACAATGAAGTCCGAGTCATTTGGAGACAACTGGTGGACATTTTGCAAATCATTTTTGCACTCGTATGAATATGTATGGTTGAGCATTGCTCACTGCCTACTCATATATTCATTCTGCTAGCCTGGCTATTAGTCGTTAATTGATTCGATGATTAATTCCGCTGTGTATAAATGTGTTTAATACATCGTTGGAGCGTTATCTAGTGACCGTTATCAAAACAAACTATATACGAAGTTTATTCGTTGTGTTGAATACTGATAACAACAAATAGTTTTGCCTATAAAGTCTTCAAAAATTACTTGGCATAGAATTTCTGTTAAAGTTTTCAAAGATTATTTTATATGAACTTAATTTTTATTGAATACATATTTTACTCCACTAAAGCATATATGATGTCGACTATTCCATGGCCGATGATTTCAAATGGGGAAAAGGATTAGGTTGTGATTTCGTAATGAAGAGCTGTTATGAATTCATTCAGAAAAGGAAGATGTCGTAAGATGAATTTTAATTTTGTATATGTATTCGACACATTTTTATATGTTATGATGGATAATGTGAAAAATTGTTTTCCTGAATTCGTTGCCAGTATGACCAGTATGACAACACTTTACGAAAGTCACTTGGTTTTTAATTTCTATTACATTTCTATTTTTCGTTTCCAAGAAAGTATTCATTAGAAAACGACGTCTGCTGATGTGTAATTCCATTATGAGAATCGTTGTTTGGTTAAAGTGTTTTTAATGAAAACGAATGTTTATTTATATCATCGGTGGGAATATATTGGATAATGACTTTAATAAAATGATCAAATGAAACTATGGTCAATTGTTTTCATTCTTTAAACTCAATAGATTGAAATGGACTCAAAACGATAAATAATCTTATTATTGTTAGAACTATCATTATAAGCAAAGATGGACATTGGCTAGCAGTGGAATCCAGCTAACGAGTTCCGACTAGGACGAAAAGCGTGTTCTGGATTCCACTGATAGCTGCTATCCATCTTCTTAATGTTCGTGTAGTAAAGTTATATCGAGGCAATACGCACAAGATGCACATATGCCAATAAGAGACTGATAAATTGCAATCTTAAAAATCAATGGGAATGTTCAAGTAAACTATACCAAGTGAATTTAAATTTCACTCCATTGTACAAGCATATGGCTATCAAGACTCAGTTGCTAAATGGAAAACACGGTGGCTCATGAAGCGCACAGTATTGGTTTCCAGCCCGATTTGAATAGAAAATATAGAACGTGACCAAAACATATTATTTGATCTTAAAACAATTCAAGAAGATCAATATTTTTTTAATTTTTGCTTTTGGATTTCAGGAAACAAGATATTCAGCCGTTCTGTGATACTCCATGGGAAAAAAGATGTGTAAATTATGACAGGGCAATAGGTCGATGTTCACTGTTTGATTCGGAAACTGAGCTGCCGTTGCACTTTCAGTATGCCGATAATTCTTTTAATGTACCTCGTGATAAACAAACGTATTATTCAGGTCCCGATATATATGATTACTGTCCTGTCTATGAAGTAAGTTACATTGGTTTGCAAACGTTTCGTTTAATCATATTGTTTCATATCGATGTTCCTGGAACAAATCCGATAACAAACATACGTCATACTCTAAGATTTACAATCCATTGTTTTTTTGTTATATTTATATTTTTAGGAGGCGTTGAGGTACAAACAGTACATTACTGAACGTATTAAACTAATTAAACAGGACGAGTTTGATTTAAATGGGTTGGGACTACATTATTCTTTTAAACTCGCACATGTACATTATGAACATCTCTGGTTTATGGCATTTTATATCTTTAAGTTTTTAATGATATCGGATAACTTCTATAATGGATTTGAATAGTCTCTAAAATGGAACCACGGTATTTCTCACGAAGGTAGTAATACAGAGAGACAACACTAAGAGTCATTCACAATTGGTATTTAACAAAGTACGGCGCATAACACTATCACTATCGCGAAGAATTACTGCAAATAAAATCATTAGTTGGACATAGTCAATGTACATTAGTATAACTGGTTCATTTTTGCAGATTGGAATGTTTTTCAATGATCTGATATGTTTATAAACATTGTTTGTCGTATTTATGCTTAATTCTTCACAGATGTTCAAACTATACAATGGTCGAACATCAGCATGCAGATTCAATCTGAACCTAAAATCAGGTTTGTTGATAAAAGCATTCAATTCGGTTAGAAATATATCTTTATATTCATGTATATACATGTACAGTTTTCAGTTTTTTCCAGTTCTTTCATGTATTGTATATGAGAAGAATCTAAAACGTACTCGTATTAGGATCATTTTATGCATAATATGTAAGTATATTAGGGGAACCCAAACAAAATAATGAGGAACACAAATATATTTTAATGGTTAAGATCATGAGTCAGTTGAAGCTAGACCACCATGGGAAACCTGGTAGCATTTGACGGCCGTTTCGTCCTATTTCGGGACTCCTCAGCAGTGCGCATTCAAATATATGTATAAACATGATTAAACAACTATAACGTATGTAGCCGGAAATATTTGGCTTTTATATATCTGAATTAGTGAATGAACTGTCTATTGAAATAATATTGACGTCGTAATTTGGTCATATACCAATGATAATTTTAATAAGATATGAATCTAATCTATTTACGATATTGTTTTTGTCAACCTTGACGATACATACAGCATGTGTTGATTTGAGTGTTAACACATCATTAGCCAGGAACATTAGATTCAGGATTCAAGTTGGATTTCATTGTAACTCTAGATACAGTTATACCGACAGAAAAAAATTACTCAGTGAATGAAAGTATCCTTTTGTTCTAGATGAAATTCGTAACGAACACTTCGAACTATGCTCTTTTTCTTCAAAAATGTTGGGTCTGATTTAAATAAATAATTATATCTTTTCAACAGATCTAATAAATAATGAATATCTAGAAGATATGGGTCCAGATTCAACCTGCTTTGATCACGAAAAGATCTTGAGAAAAAACAAAACAACAAATGAAGTTTATCCTAGAACATCATCATGTCATAAAGTAAGTTCCCACGAAGTTGACTCTCAATCTAGTTTTATTTAAACATAGCTGTATTTCGATAGAGTATACGACTAATGCTGAATTATTAAGTAAATATCGATTTTATTCAAGCGGAAAACGACTATTCTTTGATATTCATAAACAATCAAATCTTGTTTTAGCACGATTGGTTCGCAATTCATAACTAGACATTAAGCCATGAATGTCATTTGAATTCATATACACACACATGAACTGAACTCATTTTTGACATCATTATCTCTATTGGATGTGAAATATCAACGAACAAGCAACACTAGCACGTTTCATGAAATCATCATCACGTTGAGTATTTCTGAAGGTTTTGATTGTCAACTTCGTTCAAACAAGAGGAACATGATTAAAACTTACATTTACCAGCATTTTTTAAAACAATTGTTCACTACTCTTCAGTTGTGTGTTGTACAATATGTTAAGAGTACTTCAAATATTTATTCCATAAAAACACTCTTTATAACAGCTTGAATTATATGTGAATGATCTTTTTAGTATAAATGTTCGAAAAATGCTGATCTTCAAGTGATTATAAATGGAAAGAGTTTCTCATGTCACGCTGGCGATCGATCTGCTCATTTGAAGTTGGAAGTACAAAATGTTGAATTTTCCACGGATATACATTGTCCTCCATGTCAATCTGTCTGCAATGTTGGTTGAAGTGTTTTCCATGTGTTTTATCATTGATATACATATATATATATATTCCTCATTTGTTATATAATGCCAGGTGACACAGATAAATGTACACTATGCGTTCCATGGTGACATATCAACCAGGAATAAATATGATGATGTAACGAATGATAAAATATAACATCTCCATGTCTACTCTTCGTTCATATGTCATCACGGAAGCGATACTTGACACAAATAATTTTCATGTATGTTTTCGACAATAAACAATAAATATTTGAGCGACTAAGGACGATGTTGCATGCATTGATTGACTGACGCATGAAGGTGAATGATTCAGTCTCTCGACCAATTAAGGATAAATGTATGGCTTCCGAGTAGATGCATATCAATTGTATACTTCTACCCGAGTACTGATCTTGTGTGATGAGATAAGGCCAGCACTAGTGACTCAACTCAGTGTTATGAAACTGCAACTATTGTCTGGTTAATAGAACTGGTCTACTAGGTTCAATCTAGTCAGGCGATTGTCGATCAAATATGTATGTTTCCGACTGAATTTATTTTCATTTGCCTCTAGTGATGTAGCTTCTGTGTGCTTCAGAATATTAAGTAGACTTCAATTAATTCAGAATGTAATTTCTCACCTGAGATTTGTCGTCAACAATTCGAATTTCTGAAAATATTCCGCCATTAACGATAGTTCGCAGTTTAGAAATAATTGTTTTCCAGATATATACAGTCCCCATCTTTAGTCTGAACATCTCGGAATGCCATACGTCGTTTGAGTGTGGTGAAGTGCTAACATTAGAATGACTATTTACCATAATTCAGATAACAAGTCTAAATTCATCATCTAATTATTCGGTCGAAATTGTAACATTCGTAACGTGCCTGTCACGTAAGACACCTATCATTTAGTGAAATGCTCAGATCGACATGACCGATGAACACATTGTGTGCCTATGAGAAGATTGCTAATGAGATATAATTAAAAAAGTGCGTTTGCATTACGCCAACTATGATTTCAAGTGTCCGATATCAGATCGTAATTTCTTGTAGCCTGCTGAACCATTGATTATGACCTCACTTCCGAAAACCGAGACATTCACATGGAATACATTTATGCAAATGAATGTGAGTTTAGTATATTCGTGCAAACATCATCACGTTATTATGGTCGCCAGTTTTTCTGCGTCAGCTTCGTCAAATCCATGATTGGAAGTTTCATGATTTGATCTTTATGCATTTAGATGTAACAAGTGTTGCATATTTAATTTTCCAAATTTATAAATTTCAGGAAAGTTGTCCACGATAAAAGAATACGGAAAAGGAAATATCCAACATCTTTCAACTGTCCGCTGATCAACTATGTCAAATATAAAGGATTTTGAATACTCATTTAGAACTTTTAAAAATAACTCATGTGTCATCTGATCACTTTTTTATTTAAAACACACATTGTGTACAAAATGCAAGTGTGTTTTCCGTTAAATTTTGATCTGTCCATGCGCTAATATACGGAGCGTAACTTGTCTCAATCATGATAATGGCCTTGGCATGATAGAGTGGCTGGTCGGTTAAAAAGTGAGAGAGGGAGGGAAGACGAGTCAACTGGAACACTACCCGATTTACTCTCCATTCCGATTCACACTCCGATTTGGTTCTTATTCAGATTAGTGCAAAACGATACATGAATAAATGGATGACTAACACGACCACAAAGCACAAACACTTAGAAAATACAATTGTGACCAAACTAGGTACTATTGTGGAAAGATAGAATACTGAAGATCACATTTAAACTACAATAACGATGGGTCAAAAAGGGATACCACAGTGAAGCATACATCAAACGAACGCTTATGGTTAGTAGAATAAACTGTGGAAAAAACTAAATCCTAGCTTTACAAGCTTTGTATTAAGTGAAACAACGTCTTCGAAAATAGCTTCCATTGTTTCTCTGCTCACATCAATTTACTAATTTCAAATATTGATGCTCTCAATATATGTGAACTATGTATTGTATTTGTTATGACAACTATTATGTAGATTGGTTCAGTAGTAAACATCAACAAATATTATTAGGCTTATCATAAATGTGGCTGTTTCAATTGCTTCAACGATACGCAATCATCGCTCATATGACTTTGCGTTATTATTGTGCATAAATATACGTTCTGAGGACAGTGTTTTACAGTTGAGCGAATATTCATTGTATAATGATTTATTGTACAAACATGCTCTGTTTGGAACAGTCAACAAAACGAAACCTTATCTGCATGAAAATAGACGAAAAGAAACTGATACAACGGATGGTTTAAACATTTCTTTCTCTCTCTCGCTCACACGCTTAGGTATACTACGATGATACGACTAGTCATGTTACATCAGATCCTGGATTCACGACTCAGATTAGAGAACCAGGTTAACACTAGAGACTACATTGTTCAAAATAGTAATAAGAAGTCACTCTCAGTGGGTCCGTAGTGGAGTTCAATGAGAGGAAATAAATCACATGAAAATCAGTCAGTAGGCTAAGTACCATTTTGTTTACACTCAGCGACTAGTACCTCGTCGAAAGACGCATTCAATAAAAATTGAGGTCTGAACTTATTTTTTGAAATGCTTTTCCGGTCGTTTGTGTCTATCATATATAAATTGCATGGTGGAGACTTCCTACTGAAATTTTTATGGAAACTAGCTAAACTTGTTAATTTCGTAATATGTTTTTATAATATATATCATACTTTCCAAAAATAATAATTCAGTACAAATAAACTCATTATGTGTGAAATTACTACTTATTCAGTCAAGTAGAAACCGTTGATTTTCAAACGGAATCAGATGAACTCTTTAATGAACTATTTAGGTAACTATTCAGAATAAATGAACTCTGGAGAGTTGATTTTCATACGATTCTCATCCAATGTCTGTTAATCATTTGAACTACAAATCAAGTGAACTCCACAAATATCTTATTCTTACATTAGATAGACAGTGTGTGTAATACAAGATAATAAAAATATATAAACTGAAGACTTTTCTCTGAAACAATTTGGTGTGAATACATGAAAATCCACTTGGAGTGTAATAGAACGAAAACATTAGAAGCTGCAGTTGGACCAATGGAAGAAA